AGGCTAGTGCATTTGTTTGGTTATAGGGATTGGAATTGCTATTGCCAATTTTCGGGCAAAAAGCAAAACTTTATGGATCCGTATACAGTTGAAGATTTTTAACAGGTTATTTATTCCAGTTTCTGGGAGCATTTTTGCAATAGTGAGTTGGGGACAGGATCTGGTCCTGAGGCGGAGTTTTTTGTTGATGTAAGGATGGAGCTTATTTCTTTGAGTATTAAAGGTGAATTTAGTAATGAGTTGTTATCATTGTGAATCAGATCATGGTTATATATATTATTGTAGATTATTGTAGGATGTGATGAGTTTATATTATTTGAATTTTCTTGGAATTTTTCAGCTAATGTGTGGAATTTTTTAGCAATGTCGTGGACTTGAGTTACGGTTTCACCATCATCAGATTCCAGGAATTGAAGAGGATTTGGATCCATTTATGCACTTGATTTTTTTCCATACTGCAGATGTTGGTGTTTGTGGATTTATTGATGATATGTAGTTTCTCCATGATTGTTTTTTATTTTCTTTAACTATTCTACGGAAGTTGGCGCGTTTCCTTTGAACTCGGTTAGGTTTTCGTCTGTGGAATGTTTTTCTGCTTGAAAACGTGATGACTCTCTTGCATGGCAATTTTGCATTCTTCGCACCAACACGGTATCGGTCTTTTCCTGATTTTTTGCAGTCTGGGAATTCCAAAGGATTTGTTTGCGGCTGAAGTTATGATTGAAAATTGTTTATTGTTTCGTTAATCCGGGCTGGGTCGAGTTCAGGTTCTGTTTCTTTCTCGGTGAGTTGAAGCATTATGTTTTCTTGGTATACTGGTCAGTTTGTTTCTTTTTTTATATGCCATTTTGGTTGGAGGTAATTTTGAGTTGTTGTACTATTGTCTCCATAGGTGATTTTTATGGGAAAATGATCGCTATCGTATAGTTCTTTTAAAGTATCCCATTTTAGGTGTTGAGCTATCTGTGGACTGGAAAAGGTTAGATCTATTGCACTTGATGTGCCGTTCCTAATGCTGAAGTGCGTTGGGGAACCTGTGTACAGCAAGATTAAATCTTGGTTGTTAAGTAGATTTTCAATAGGCTTTCCTCTTCTGTCAGTTTTAGTCGATCCCTAGAGAGCATGATGGCTGTTAAAGTCACCGGACAGGATCAGTGGAGCTGGAAGTTGAGCTATTGAATCTTCAAGGTCTTGTAAATCAAGGGAGAGGCTATTAAGAATGTAGATATTGTAGATGTGGATTCTTTTTGGAAATGATAGATATTGCGACAGCTTCTAAGTTTGAATTTAATTTCAGTAGAATCATATTTGTCTGAAATTACAATGGCCACTCCTCCGCTGGCGTTTATCCGGTTTCTAACGAAAGTGTTGAAATGTGTAGGCTGGTGATTTTTTTTAAAATTTGTTTCTTGAAGGCAGATATCAGGGCTGAAATATTTATGAGAATTTGAAGTTGTTCGTAATAGGTATAGTAACCGTTTATGTTCCAATGTATTATTGTTTTCATAATTTATTTGGAGGGACTTTGGATTTGGATTTTGCTGCGATTACGGCTGTTATGAAAATTCGATGTCAGATTCAGATGAGCAGCTAAATGACAATTCAAGTGTGTCAGTCGGTTTGGTGAGCTTTTTGCAGAGTCGATGTATTCTGTTTTTTATGCTTCTTTCGTAAATTTCTTCAAGAGCTTGAACAAGGGTCGGAATGTTATTTTGTAGTGTAGTTTCTTGCGATTTCCAATGGGTGTGCTGATCTGAAGGTGTCCTGGAGGATCTGGGAGTGTGAAGGATTTTTTTATTTATTATTTCTTTTTCTGGGACTAACATTTCCTCTAGTATGGCGGAATTGAAAACTGGAGATTGGAGAGGAAATAGTATTAGTTTGGTTATTGCGATTTTTTTTTTTATGTGAATTGATTGGTGGAAGCATGGAGTCTAAGCTAACATAATCCGGTTTGTCGTCAGCTGATGATTGTGACAGTGGTCTTTTGGAACTGAAAAGGATTGGTGGTTGCTCTGTTGGTAATTTATTCGTTGTTTGTTTAGGATTGTCGATGTTTGTCTCTGTAGTGATGGGAATCTTCTTTACTGGAAGTTTGTTGGATTGAGTTGGTGTGGGAATCGTTGTATTTGTATTTGGGATTATCGTATCGGTTGTGTTTGAATTTTGGGTTTGCGGGCAATCTTTCGCTAAGTAACCTTCTTGTTTACATCAGAAGCAGAGAAGGCTGTCGATGGAGGTGAAAATACGGTAAGATGTATCTTCAAAAGTTATTAGGAAGGTGGATAGGATTTTTCCAATGTCATCGGGATCAATGTATGCCTGTCTTCTGAAACTGAGGATGTGGGCGTATTCCTGCTTTCAGGGTTGTTATTCCGGAGCATAGCTTGATGTTGTTTTTTTTTTGAAAAATTTTTCAAAAAAAATTCTGAGTTGAGTATGACCGGGGCGACGTTTGATAGAATTACTCTTTGGGCCGGAGTTAACATTGGTCTTAGTTTAGCACATTGTTGTTAACCGTTATTGTTTTATGCAGATTTGTTAGGTGTAGCACAGTTTCTTTTTTATCAAGATATGCGCAAATTCGATTGTTTGAGATTTTGGAGATGTACCTTATTGATTTGGGGCCGATTAGTTTCTCTATTGCAAGAGCATAGTCTTGGAGGCTTGTGTCGTCTATTGCGTGAATGATGATAGCTTGGTCTTTTGTAGGTGATGCATCGAGTTGTGCTGCGTGGGAGTACGATTTAATGGAGTTGTTTTTGGTTAGAAAATTGGGAAACCCTGTACTCAGAGGTTCCCGCAAGTTGGTGTTGGTTAGTCGGTGTATTCATTCTTGTGGTATTCTTTTGAGTTGAAGTACGAAATTGGCGTTTGTTTTCACTAACGCTAATACTATAATAATATTGTAACTCGTAAGCGAGACTGTATCGGACGTTTGGTACGGTACAACGGCTAAACCGAGACTATTTTTATTGATTTCTTCTACATCTTGCATACAATTTGGTAAATTTTCTTTTAAATGTCTTTATACATATATACAATTTGGTAAATTTTCTTTTAAATGTCTTTATACATATATTGATTCATAATCCCTTCAATTTTGTGCAATGGGTCAACACCATCTGCTGTCATAGACTCCTACAACGTATACATACGTATGTATAATACGTATAGTATGTACGCATACTATTCCACCTATAATTTTCAAGTTGCACATAGATTACCATAAGGCTTAGAAATAAGCGAGAGCACCTGATTAACATTTTCCTCTGTGCTGTAAAGACAACTTTTTTTATAAAATGTGACATAATGTGTGTGAAAACTGCATGAAAATACAGGGTGAAAGTTTCTTCTAAAAAATACATTTACTGTTCCGTCTATAATAATCGATAATCATTCTCCTCTTGTACGTAATTTACAAGCTGTATCACGCAACGGTATCAATATTTTTCTGCGAAATGTGCAAAGCTACGACCACAGTCAAACAAAGTGTTTCAATTGTCAAAGAGAATGAACTTTTTTGGTTATAAGAATATTATAGACTCCTGGAATTTTATTTCTTCATGATTGTATCGACATCGTACAAACCAGCGCAGTACATACTACAATCGTACTTCTTAGTTCATTTTTCATTCAGTGGTAAGGATATTCCATTTGTACGAAATACAAATATATATATTTCCGGTTTTCTCGTCTACTTTTTACCTGTGAAGAACAATACTTACATCTTTCAATTGTTTTTATCGCAAGCAAGCGATGTACTAACAAATACAAACATAACATGTAGGCTACTTGCGAAGTCTGTAAATTACTGACGGTTCAGTTAATTATAATCAGTGATTACAATATCGTGTCATTGTTAGTCGGGGGATTTTCTGGCACATTGCGAAATAATCGCGATACGAAATTACGTTATATAATTTTCTTGAACAGAGACGATTCAGAATACATGAAGAAATTTTTTATCTTATCTTTAAATCTATTTCGTCAAAGACAGTGGCTCATTTTTTTATGCCGACGGGAAATCCTAAAGGCCCCCACACATGTTGAAACATGTTGCGAAGCATGCATCGACTCGTAAGTTGCACATTGCAATGTGTGTAGCTCGGCATCGGTGAATCGACATCAGAAACAACTGTTACCGATGCACGATGCTAGGTTAGTTGAACAAAGAAAGTCCGTTTCGGACTTCGCTATTCTCGTCGCTACGACTATCGTAACACAATGGGTCGGATCGATAATTTTCGCGACATTTTTTAGTAACTCTTGACTCATAAAAGAGATAGCAATGAAATTTGTCATAAATATTTATATAAACATATACGTATAAATCATTCTGTATAAAATTTGATACATTTCAAGAAACATTAATCTTTTTCCGACATCGTATCCTAATATTTTCTTATTCACAATAGCACGTAGAAATAGTTCTATCGTACAAAAGAAAATCATAAAGATCTATTAAGAAAATGTTTTTGTGAGCTTCTTAAACAGTGACCAATTACTAAATTTGCGTTTATTTATTATGATTATTGTATGTCTTTCGCGGAAAAATCGTTTAATTATTTCGTGGTAAATTTTCGTGTTATTTCGTCTGTAAGATTTCACATACATCACGTTATATGATAATTCATTGAAAGAAGAAAACCAGGAAAATTTTAAATAAAGCAGAAAATATCGCGCAATAGCCGAGAATAATAAGCAATTTTTTTACCGCGATCGTTTTGATTATCCTAGCATGTCTGCAAACACAGGACATTTCCTGAATACGTACGTGAAAATGTACGTGTGTACACACGTTAATAAGACATTAAATCGGAAGAGATAGTGACGTGATTAGATGGCTGTCAGAGTACCAGCATTATCTATAACTCGTTTTCTAGCGCAAAAAATACCACTGTACGATCATCACTCGAGTAGTTCAACTGTTTCATCGTACGTTAAATCGGCAGCAGCACAAACGTGACGTGATGCATTAAACACGATCGCCGTCGAACTGCGTCTTCAGTCATCGCGAGCACATTGGCGCGGGAGTGTCCGCTGCCGCTGCTGAACGTTCTACTTATAACGGATCGAAAGTAGTCGGTGATCGGTTTCTGTGATTATCCAGTCTCTCGATGATACTTTCTGGATAGTGAACAACATCGTTACCGACAGGTGCTGAATACCTGCTACAAGAGCAGAATAACGGATTTGAAAATGGGTTGGTGGCCGATAATCGCGGCTGTGTTGGCCGTGCTAGCGGTGGTCTACTATCGAGCCACACGTAACTTCGACTTTTTCAAGAAACGTGGGATTCCGTACGCCAAACCGATACCGTTTTTGGGAAGCATGTGGGAAGTGTTCTTTCAACGACTGTCATTTGCCGAGGGCGTAGAAAAGCTGTACAATTTGGATCCTGAGTCAAAGTACATCGGTTTTTTCGAGTTCGGAAGGCCCATACTCGTGATTCGAGATCTCGACCTGATCAAATCTATCACCGTGAAGAATTTCGATCACTTTCCAAACCACAGAATGGCTTTCGACCCGGACCTGGAGCCTCTCTTCTCGAAGAATCTGTTTTCCCTGTGCGACGAAAGATGGAAAGAAGTACGAAACATGTTGACACCGGCCTTCACGTCCAGCAAGATGAAGTCCATGTTCGTGTTGATGCGCGACTGTGCCAAAAAGTACGGCGATTATTTCGCTTCGTTGCCCGCCGACCAGTCGACCTTGGAATTGAAAGACGCGTTCACAAAATATACCAATGACGTGATCGCTACTTGCGCATTCGGCATTGACGTCAACTCGATGAAGAATCCGGCAAACACGTTCTACGTGTACGGCAGAGAGACAACCAATTTTGGAGGAAGAGTGCAGGCCCTCAGGTTTTTCGCGGCGAGAATGTCTCCATTGTTATGTCGATTATTCGGCATCAGGCTGATCAGACAGAAGATCGTCGACTTTTTCAAGGAGTTGGTAGTCAGCACGATGAAGGCGCGGGACGAGAACGGTATCGTTCGTCCGGATATGCTTCAACTGATAATGGACACCAGAGGGAAATTGGGGCCAGGCAAAGAGTTGTCCGTCGATGACATAGTGGCCCAGGCGTTCGTCTTCTTCTTCGGTGGATTCGAGAGCACCGCCACTCTCATGTGTTTCGCCGCTTACGAGGCTGGCATCAACGACCAGGTACAGAAAAGATTGCAAGAAGAGATCGACCAGGTTTTGGAGGATTGTAAAGGCCAAGTCACGTACGAAGCTATTAACGGCATGAAGTACTTGGAGGCTGTCATCCTCGAAAGTCTTCGGATGTATCCAGCGATCGTCGGTAGCGACAGAGTCTGCGCGAAACCATTCGAATTGCCGCCACGCGTGCCGGGAGCAAAGCCGTACGTCGTTCAGCGAGACGACAACGTGTGGATACCGATCTATGGTATTCAACACGATCCGCAATACTACCCGGAGCCGAAGAAATTCAATCCCGATAGGTTCTACGACGATCCGAAACAGATGGTCAACTCCCTTTCGTTCCTCTCGTTTGGAGTGGGCCCCAGGATGTGCATCGGCAACAGGTTCGCTCTATTAGAAGCGAAAGTATTGCTCTTCTTCGTTTTCGCCAAGTGCGACCTCACACCATGCGCCAAGTCCTCCATACCATTAAAACTGGACCGGAAAGGTTTCGCCATGATCCCGGAGAATGGCTTCTGGCTGAAAATCCAGCCGAGAATCGCAAAGAAAGCGGAGCCGAAGGAGCTCATCGAGAAGATTTCCGACGGACATCCCGACAATTAATTTATGTTCCACCACACACGATACTTGCAATAAACGTTGCTGCAACTTTTTCGTCTGTTTAAGGATACATTTCTTTGTGGCAGCAACGTTTATGACTGATTTTTTTAAAAATATTTTTACATATGCTGTAATGAAATGTGATACATGTAAAATGTAATGCAGTTGCAATATATAGGAATTTTATAGAAGGAAATGAATTGAAAACGAGAATCTCTCGTTCTAGCTCGTAAAATGTACGAATTACGCGTATGTGCAAAAATGGTTTTCTGCTGGAAATATTTCGGATATTTATTCAATTTCTTCAATTTATTTTAAATGCACAAGTTACAAACGATTATTTGCGCATTCTTCATTTGCGTTTTCAAAAACAAGATAGGATTTAGATCTTTTTTCTTTTTTTTTTTTTTTTGCTGATCTCTGTCCCGCCAGGGAAATTGTTAATTCTCACGATTTCACACGATATTATCAAAGAATTTTCCATCGATTCCTACGATCTAGTCTCGTAGAGTATATTGGAAATAGCTGTGAATTTTCTAGTCAAGAAGAAAAATATTTTTGTATTAAAATAAGATAATAATCTTCCATAGATTTCTTCTTTTTAAACGTTTTTACGAAAATTTAATATATTCTTTGTTACGAGAAATATGTATACGTGTTGGATGTAGACTTGTTACAGTAAAATAAAATGACTATTTGAAATAAATATACTGACTTTGGACTAAATTAGAAAAATAATCATATGATCATTATCTCCATTTAATCATCGTATCTAATCGCTATCGTTCCCAGAAGAAGATAACAATATGTCGTATTCTCTATAAATTTAAAAAATTTTGAAACAAACAACATCCGCCTACTGCTTTTGAACATTATCTATGTACGGTCGTTCTTCCTGGATATTAACGACAAGAAGTTTCTTTTCTTTTCTTTTTATTTATCCATAAGATACTTTCCAATCTTTACTGGTGATTTTTCTGACCTATTGTTTTATTTCGGCACTGAATTATGCGCGTGTGTCCTTCCAACCTTTTCTTGTTTTCTAGTTTTCGAAAAATTCGTAAAGAAAATTCTGTTGGCACCACTATAGTGAATTTCGCCTACAATCGTGCGTTTATAGCAACGTATACGTTAGTATGTGTATATTCGGCTTGATGTAATCTATCTCTTGTTTTTTTATGCACGATGTATATGATATGTAATAACGTATCATACTAACGTAATGGCAGTGCTTTGTAAATCATTTCGGAAGCTAGGCTCGACATACGTCATGAGAAACTTATTTATAATATTAATATTCAAAAATCATCGAGATGAACCAGTCTTTGAAATGAACGAATGAGGGAAAAGGAAAGAAAACAATCGTTCTCGACGATCTGTTCGCGTTTCATCTTCAACAGAACAACAGAAATTGAAGAAGATGTGGAAAAGAAAGCATTAAATCGTGGCGTATATTTCCGGTCACATGTCCATCTCAGTTATCATTCGCGTAGGATATATAAACATCTGCATGTCCAGCACGTAACACCGTACCCGCGGTAGGTATAATATGTTCTGCTGTGTGATCGACCAGTGGTAAATATGTGCGACCTTGTGAATGTTCCTGAATGAGAGAGCGCCTGTGTACAGAACATATAAACATACAGAAGCGATCACACTGTCAGCTGTTCGCTCGTAACGCGTCACTCAATTGATCTATTTTTTTCTTCTTCTTTTTCTTTTCTTTTGGTCATGGTTCAAAAAAATTATGATAATACGCTCATTCATTTGACATCCAGTTTTCTTGGAATCGTCAATTTGAATTTGTAATTTGTTTTTCTTGTAGAGGCGAGACAATTATGTATGTATAAACGACTGTGAGTATATAATGTCACGAAACAATTAAAAATCTGAAATCGTACGTCTATTTGACGTGACGGTGAATCTTTGATTCGAAGTTGTTTCGAATCTTATTTTAAAACGATCGTTCTATTTACTGATACAGCGTTGCGGAGTGACTGTTACGTCAATAATGATAACTAAATCATGCATCGCGATAAAAACGAAAATAAAAGACAGCCGATATGCCTTGTATATTAAATTATTTTCTTTTTTTTTTAAATACGAGTAATTGCATGCTATCAGAATGATTCAGCTACTGTACTATTGTAGTCGCTTTCATTGAAAGTGTAAATATATACGCAGTTTAATTATAACTGATTCCTTTTCTTTTCTTCAAAAAACAATTGAACGTGGGAACCTCTTAGACGAGAAATGACGCTTGATCGATTTTTTTAGATAATGATCGTCAACTACAATCACGTTACAATTACATTGTGCAAGTGTCTACGGTGTGATACCATAGATAGCAACAGAGTGACGTCATAATAAAATGTCTGTATAATATATTATACAAGTTACAAGTGACCGCAGAGCGTAGCCGTGCCTACGCGCGTTCAGTATGTACCACGAATTCCTCCGAAGATCAATCCAAATCGCACACTATTAACAACAGCCAAGTAAAGTTAACGGTATTAACTAGATACGTAATTAATAATAGCGACGAGATTGGTCAAAGTAGGAAACGGACGACGCAAAACACGATTATTTTCGTAAACGATCAACAAATTTGACGAATCTGACAGTGAGAGGATTACGCGTCGCACGATATCTTTGAAAGAACGTTGGATATTGTTAAAAGTCCCCTCCCCCTTTCACCTCTTCCAGCCAGACAATGAATGGTCGATGCCTGAACTGGCGGTTATAATGGAGCGGCGAGGAGAGCCGTGAGGAACTCCATCTCTACTCACAGTTCTCCACGCCGCTCCACTATAATCGCCACTTTAGGAAATATCAGGCAGCTTGACTCATATTATAAAACTATCCTCACCCCTCTAATGTAATTCACTTTAGTCACGTGTAGACCGCGCGGAGGAAGAGACTCGAGAGCAGAGGTTGGCGATCGAATTAACAGGGTCAAGGCTTTTGGCCAGAATTAGTGAATTGAAGATCGTGAGGGTGGATTCAAGCAGTATACTGTCCTGTTAGTGGAAAAGGCGGTGGCTAAAAGCAAAAATGAATGTGACATCTCTTCCACCTCCTCTCTTTTTCATCTCCTTCTCCCATCAGATTTCGCTCGTGTGGTTTTTCTGTTTCTTTGCTCTCTTCCGCTCTCTTTCTTTCTCTCTCTTTCTCTCTTTCTCTTTTTTTCGATCATATGTATTGCAAATATCATACGAATAATCGAATTATTTTCTTTCTAATTTCTAATATCGCCGTGCTTCAATTTCGATAATTTCAATAATTAGTTATACAGGATGGTTCGTAACTGATGATACAGGGTAATTCTACCAGAAAAAAATAGATCGAAAAAGAAGAAGTAAAATTTTGTTTAGTCTTATCTAGCTTTAGTCTTTTTCTTATCTGAAATTTTATTTGCAAAGTCACGTCAAATTATTTATGAAATTACAATTAAAAGGAAAGATTGTTTCTGTATTTGACGCGATAAACTAGCAGAGCACCATCTGTTGCACAGTTTTCGCAGGAATAAAAAGGGCACAACTGTGTGTACATGAACGTTATGGGTTGCATTATTATGCAACAGTATTTTCAAACTGATAAAATTCCAACGCATTTCCGTGACATTGGAAATATTTGCAGAGACGTGCAATGTCAGTAATATTAATTTACTACGAGATAAGTCTGGCAAGTCAAGTCTTACTTAAATATACATAGTGCTAGATGAAACATCAGAGTTGATCTTTTCGAAAACGACGGATCGGACGAAAAAAATTTTTCTCTTTTTCTTGACTTACTTAATCTCTTATTGTAAAATGGCCCTTTGGTCAAACTGCAACAGAAACATATTACTTTGATTAACGATTATAGAATTAATTTATCCGTTGAAACGTAAAATACTCTTGATAGTTTTTTTTATCTACATATTTATAAATGTATGTGTGTGTAATATCATCATGCGTAGTGTACTACAAATTATAACTTAATCTCTAGATAAACAAGACACAAATACTCAGCAAATAAGTCATTATCTCAAAAAAAAAAATATCTTAATCACTTTCAACTCGATATTATTTTCCTAATGACTTTTCTTTGAAATTTTATACTATATTGTACGATACGTACACAACAGATCGTGATTAACCTAAATGACATGATATTTTTATCTTAATACGACTGTTAATATATATATATATATATAATTCCTAGCTATCTGTCTTTTCTTCATTGTTATCTCGTAAGGTTACTTACTCGTACGGACGTCTAAATGAGTATATTTCTGTTTAAACCGAAAATATTTCTCGTAACTCTGTTAAATCTTTGCTAAATTGATATATATTTAACAAAGAGTTTGTAAAAAAAGAAAAATAAAAATGTTATGACTAACAATATTCGTTTGCTAACGTCGCAAACAACAACACGAAATTGTATGGGCAAAATATATACACGGTGCTGAACCGAATTAAATCTTTTAATAAAATTAGCCGAAGCGCTGTGTATTACGATAAAATTATATTCTGTTATTACTACACGTAAATTAACACGCTCTGTACATAGACAATAAATACTTTGATTTGTGGACGAAAGATAACAAAGGCTATTTTCATTACATCTAATCTTCAGAGATACCGGTTTATTTAGCTAATGTAGCGGCTTATAGTCCCTCGAGTACAAGTTTCGAACATCGACTCGTGCAAGCTGCAAGTAGTTGTGCGCCTAGAGTCAAAGTCTAACGATCTTCGATGTTAAGCAAAGTGCGGAACACCGCTAGAATGGGTGGTGACCAAGGCCCTTATCATTTCTATTTCCGGTTAGCGATCGAATAACCATAACTAGCCAGCTAGTAATATGACCAACGTTGATTGTAATAAGATCCAGCAATCAGATAACGATAAATGGAATGCGATCATTGTACCTCCCACGTCGGTACCAAACACTGT